GAGAGAGAGAGAGAGAGAGAGAGAGAGAGAGAGAGAGAGAGAGAGAGAGAGGCATTGAGCTGAAAACAGGCGCTCGTCAAATTAATTAAATCCAAGAAAACGGCATTTTTCTGCCAGTTTGAAAAAAAATTTTTTTTTTTTTTTGGACTCAGCATCTTGTATGTCCATTCAAAAACACTTTTATGTGTGGATTTTATGGGACACAGTTGATTAAAGGCACAAAAATGTAAATTTACAATTTCCAAGGGCTCTTAGGCTTTGGAAGTCACCATACGTTGGCGGCCTTTTTCTCGCTAATTTTACTTCTGAAACCAGGCGACCCCACGTCCTTCAATCACAAATATTTCGATTTTTCTTTAAGGTGAATAGATATTCATTTCATAGAAAGCAAACGAAATGAAAAACCCTTCAGATGACACCAATAATTCCATATGCACAAAAATTGTGACGAGTGCCTGATTCCATCGCGTCGCGACCGACACGCACACACACACACACACACACACACACACACACACACACACACACACACACACACACACACACATTTATATATAATATATATTGTATATATTACATTATACTATATTATATATATATATATATATATATAATATATATATATTTTATATATATATATATATATATATATATATATATATATATATAATTATATTTGGCAACATGGAAACACATGTGTCTCTTTTCCCATAAAAAAAACAACGACAGCTACAGAGTTGAAAGTTTGCAAGTACCTGCAAAAGATAGATAGGTTCCCATGACGGAGCCCGATTTTTGATTTATTCATTTCCTGAATTTAGACAAACATATTTGACAAAAAGTTCTCGTCCTTCTTTGGCTTTTGTGATTATTCTACTGAGAAACGAAACAAATCTGTGTAACTCTCCTTCACAACGGAAGTTCATTACCGATTTTTAACTTTCACCTAAAGCTGCCGGGCAATAGAAACCCATGCTTCATCCCTCACGCTCATACTTCACGTCTAAACGCGTGAGTGGAAAAACGATCAAACGTAATCTTATTTGCGGTGGGCCATAGACCCCCGTTCAGGCCTCACACTTCAAGCTTCACGACTCACGCGTGAAGCTAGAAGTGAACATGTTCGCTTTTCCGAGACGTGAGTCCGGGAGCAGACTGGATATCAGAGCGTTTCGTGCATGTTTCCTCGAATTGGTCCAGTTGGAAATTTGAGTTTCTTCCGGTCCATCATGCCGTGGATAGAAGCTCGTAGAGAGGACCTATTCCAGGAGTTCCAGCTGCAAGCGCTACAGTCGTTAAAGAACCTCCTCCTCGTCATCAGAGCACTCCTTAGCTGGCACGAGATCGCATGGTCCTCAGGACTATTCATTTCACGATCAGAGTTAGAATAAACAACAATCAAGTAGAGCCTACCACTTAACGGGACCTTGTGACCTAAACTTTTTCAAATTTTTCGTTTTTGTTTTTCGGTTTTTGTTTTTGTTATGTGGTCATGTCAGTGTATCTGAAAAACATAAAATAATTTAATTGTACCCTTCAAAAACATTTTGGAATTTTTGTGTGGCCTCTCTTTTTTATCGGGGGGGGGGGGGGGGTTGTTTAGATCTACTTTTTATGTGGACATATCAGTACATGCTTATCTGACTAACATACTTTGACTAGTAATTACCTGAGAGTTATGATGAGCTTTTGTTCTGCTTTGATTGGCCTCCTCCAATTTGAATTGTCTGGCTTCAGATGTCCTAGCACGAGGGACTTTAATGTATTGTAAGTCTTGTTCGACATCCTTGTATAATTATGAAATAGTTCTCCATCAGGATTGTCCACGAGGTATTGAAATGTCCGGTGAAATTCTCCTCTGGATTCTCTGAGCAAAAGATGCTCCCGGCACCATATGCTCCGTCTCTTTCGCTTCCTTCTTCTGAGACTGAGACACAACAAAATCAGCAAATCTTTCTCGTCAGATGATTCCATTTTGAATGCGCAACGCAGACTCGTGTGTGAAGCGTGAGAGCATGAGCCCCTATGGCCCAGTGGGCCGTGAAGCATGGAGCGTGAAGTATGAAGTATGAAGCGCGAGGCATGACGCCTGAGTTTCTATGGCCCGGCAGCCTAAGAAACACGATTCAACTGAAGGGGTGAGTAATTTTCGAGACCCACCTGTAGTAC